GCGGGGGGGGGCTAGTGTTGGGTGGTAAAAAAAAAAACTGAAAACTCAAAATGGAAACACATTTTTTGTGTTTTCATTTTTTGGCCAAATTTATAAACTGAGACCACTGATTTATAAATCAAAAATTTTACCAAACAAGTTTTTATTTCAGTTTTTTAAATTTTTGTAAATATAAACAGAAAACTAAAAACGTAAGTGTTACCAAACGACACCTAAGTGTTACCAAACGACACCTTCATGTTTTAAAATTTGTGTCTATAATACTTCAGATGTACATACAAAACTCTACTTGGCTGATTTTTGATAAATAAGTGTCAAAAGAAAAGCACGAATTACGAATATTTGTATCCAAACTGTGTCATAACCAAAAAATTAAGGCTACATAAGTATATCCTGACCTAGGGTGCCAACCAGTAAGGACTTCCCTTAAATGATAATTGTAAGAAATAATGTATAGAGAAAGAGAGAGAATAAATTGTATGTATTATTATTGATTGATATATTGTTGATTTTATATTACAATGATTCATGATTCCTATATATAGAAGAGGGTGAGTGTCTAGTAGGTAAGGAGTAGGTGAAGTGGAGGTGGTAGTGGTGTAGTGGGTTAGGTTTAGTGGAGTAGGTGAGGTGGTAGTGGTGTAGTGGGTTAGGTTTAGTGGAGTAGGTTTAAGTGGGTGAAGTAGGTGGAGAGTAGGTGGATTTTAACAATAATGGACATGACTACCCATCGATCTTCAAATTTAAAGGATGCCATTATATTTTCTAGGAGGATGGATTTCAACGGGTGATCTCATGGTTTAGTGCCAAGCATTGGTTGACACTTGTTATGAAATATCTAGCAGCCAGAGATAATTTAATTCGAGGTACATGACAGGCTATAACAGTAAATGGCAAAGCATACTATGTCCATCTTTAAAAAAAAAATACCTCTGCTTGTGTAAACTCAATGAATGATAATATTCACACACACGAACATACAATTTAGTACTTAACTCAAACATGACTTACACTCAATTGGTTTGATTACATTTCACGAGTATATACATATTGCTGCCTAGACTTACATGCTTTGCCATTCATCAAACACGGTAATTTAACTAAACATCTTCCAACATAAGGAGTCGAGCAGGAAAACATATAATTATTATAAAGAATAAAAAATATCAATCATTCCTCTCTATCTAGGCTCAAATTTTAGCAACAATGACAATCAAAGCTGACATCTCTGATTTTAATCAATAATAAGCATACTTGGAACCAGCATATACATTAGGGCTATTCACTTGAAAAAGAAATATATGCATTAAATCTTCATTGGTTTTATATTCTTCTTATACCAATATGGCATTTTGAAGTTTTCCCAAAACATCTTCCAACATAAAGAGTCGAGCAGGAAAACATATAATTATTATAAAGAATAAAAAAAATCAATCATTCCTCTCTATCTAGGCTCAAATTTTAGCAACAATGACAATCAAAGCTGACATCTCTGATTTTAATCAATAATAAGCATACTTGCAACCAGCATATACTTTAGGGCTATTCACTTGAAAAAGAAATATGTGCATTAAATCTTCATTGGTTTTATATTCTTCTTATACCAATATGGCATTTTGAAGTCTTCCCAAAACACCTTGCATGTATATTTACAAACTAAATTGCAAAGGAAACTATTGTGTAAAACCCGGGATACATTCTACTTTCTATTGAAATTGGAATGTAAGAATTCTGATTTCATTTTATTTTTGGTAAGTAGGAATGTAAGAATTCTGATTAAGATGTATACTTCAGATGTACATACAAAACTCTACTTGGCTGATTTTTGATAAATAAGTGTCAAAAGAAAAGCACGAATTACGAATATTTGTATCCAAACTGTGTCATAACCAAAAAATTAAGGCTACATAAGTATAACCTGACCTAGGGTGCCAACCAGTAAGGACTTCCCTTAAATGATAATGGTCATGACTACCCAACGATCTTCAAATTTAAAGGATGCCATTATATTTTCTAGGAGGATGGATTTCAACGGGCGATCTCATGGTTTAGTGCCAAGCATTGGTTGACACTTGTTATGAAATATCTAGCAGCCAGAGATAATTTAATTCGAGGTACATGACAGGCTATAATAGTAAATGGCAAAGCATACTATGTCCATCTTTAAAAAAAAAATATCTCTGCTTGTGTAAACTCAATGAATGGTAATATTCACACACACAAACATACAATTTAGTACTTAACTCAAACATGACTAATACTCAATTGGTTTGATTACATTTCACGAGTATATACATATTGCTGCCTAGACTTACATGCTTTGCCATTCATCAAACACGGTAATTTAACTAAACATCTTCCAACATAAGGAGTCGAGCAGGAAAACATATAATTATTATAAAGAATAAAAAATATCAATCATTCCTCTCTATCTAGGCTCAAATTTTAGCAACAATGACAATCAAAGCTGACATCTCTGATTTTAATCAATAATAAGCATACTTGCAACCAGCATATACTTTAGGGCTATTCACTTGAAAAAGAAATATGTGCATTAAATCTTCATTGGTTTTATATTCTTCTTATACCAATATGGCATTTTGAAGTTTTCCCAAAACACCTCACATGTATATTTACAAACTAAATTGCAAAGGAAACTATTGTGTAAAACCCAGGATACATTCTACTATCTATTGAAATTGGAATGTAAGAATTCTGATTTCATTTTATTTTTGGTAAGTAGGAATGTAAGAATTCTGATTAAGATGTATACTTCAGATGTACATACAAAACTCTACTTGGCTGATTTTTGATAAATAAGTGTCAAAAGAAAAGCACGAATTACGAATATTTGTATCCAAACTGTGTCATAACCAAAAAATTAAGGCTACATAAGTATACCTGACCTAGGGTGCCAACCAGTAAGGACTTCCCTTAAATGATAATGGACATGATT